GAAATCAGATCCATTAAATTCTAAGATTTGATTTACATTTCTAATTAAAGTTGTTTTTGATCATACGTATAGATAATTATATAAAAATTCCAAAATTCTAAAATTTCAAATACATACAAAAACAATCATATGTAAATTTTAAATTTGTGAATATTAAAATTTTATATTTTAATTACATATATTCACCCTGCGCAAGGCGTAGGTCTTATCCTAGTTACATATTATTAGAGGCAACGTTGCCTAATTAAGCGCACAAAGGGACGTTGCTAATTGGACACGCGTCCACCGTTCAGCCTCCCTCTCTTTATTTTTTCTCTTTCTGTCTCAAACTCTCGAAATCAGATGGTAATCGAAGAAGTGGCGATTGATCTCTCCGTTCGTTCTTCACCTCTCTTCGCCGATGAATCAATTGGCGTCTGTTTTTGGCTGTCACGGTGATGACTCCGCCTCTGTTTCGCCTCTCCACCTCTCTTTTGCCTTTACGCCGCTCTGCCTCTGTTTCGCCTCTCCGCCTCGGTGTGTCTCTCCTCCAACCGAAAGGTAAATCAGATGTTTTTAAGTTTAATCATGCATGTCTTATATTATGATTCTCCTTGTTCTGTCGCAAGTTTTAATCATTTTATTTGGTTATTTAATCATGCATGTCTCTCGGTGGATGCACTGGAAATGAGAATTCTTTTTGGTAGGAGAAGAAAGCTGAAAAGGGTATTGTACCTCATGAGTTTAATAAAAAAAAAATTTAAAATTTTTAAGCAACCTAAAACAAAACACTTGCAATAAAAGAGGTAAATAATCAAATTGCTTAACTAGGTTGCTTACCAAAATAAATTCCTTAAATACTATAATTATATTATTAAGCAACCCATTATGGGTGTGTAGGATAATGGTGCTCTAATACATTAATTAAACTGTTAAGGGGATCTAGTTTTTGTTAATTATTGTTATGATAGTTTCAAATTTACGTAAAATAAATGAAGCAAAGCATATGATTTAAGCATGTTACGTAACTTTGAGACAAAGACTCGCTCCAATAATAGTTAACTAGTGATATGAAAATTACTAAAAACTTTGTCTATCATAAGCGATTGCTCCATTACTTAAAAATAAAAATATTATTTGTAATTTTAGCAGCATTCGCAGATATTTTCTTGCCCAAAAGTGTGAACAGGTTAGAAGTAAATGATCTGTTTAAAAGATGTAGTAAGAAGTGGCCCCATACCTTCTCTTTTATGGTGAAACCGTGACTTGTGGAAGCGGTAGTCCCAGAGAAACATGGAAACGGCACGCAGTTCTCATTGTCATTTTTCTCATCACTTTCCCAAAACAACCAATGGTGAATGCTAGGTCCGCACGTCCTCTCTCTACATTATCCTGTTTGAAAAAGTAGTGTTTTATTTTCTCAAATGATAAAAAAAAAAACACTGTCCTATCAAGAGAAGTTATTCCAAGTTACTTTGCTAATTGAGTAATTAGAATATCAAGAGAAGTTTTTATTCTGTTCTTTTGCTATTCGGACTTCGAACCCACACTGCTCTGAATGCAGTCACCATTTACATATCACGAGATTTACAACTTATGGAGTTCTTTTTTAAATGCTGATCGTATACGAATTGGATACGTTATTGAATTGTAACTATCACCCATTAATAAAGTATTTTTGATAGGCGAATAAGGATTAAAGAAAAACTATACTTGTATGCACGGACCACGTCTTACGGTCCGGACTTAATCTACTAGAGGATCCTACAAAACAAACCATACACAATGACCTAAGCATTGTGGTCTTTTTGAAGTTTATATGCAGCATTAGATGGAAGTTGGTCGCACGTTCTTGTTTCCAATTTTTAATAATTTTGATTAGAGCATGTTAATTGTTGAATGAGTGAAACTGATGCGTTTTTTATTGCTTTTTGCTTAAAATGTAAACACTGTCTTGGAGATCTTAAGACTCCCACAGACAAGTATTTTTACACTTATGATCAACTACCAACTAACTTTTGTTCATGTCTTCTTTTTTTTTTCTTATTGCTTGTCAGTGATATAAATTACTAACACTTGTCTTATGACAATGGATGCACTTAGCAACAGTAAGAAAAACTACAATCATAAAACATGGGTTTGATCAAAAGTGCCAGGCAGGGCCGTGCCTGATAAGAAGCAGATCAAGCATTTGCTTCGGGGCCCGTTAGAATAAATATTATTTAGGGGCCAATTATTCTAAAATCATCATTGGTTCAGTGGTTGAGTGCGCATTTATAGATCATGAGATAACGAGTTCATACCGGCCTATTTACATTTTCTGTATTATTTTTGTTTTTATCCCTTATTTTAGGTTTACAAAATTTATATTAAAATAACTAAAGGGACAAAAATTTTTTTATGCTTCTAACCTAGAAAAGGTCAGGCACGGCCCTGGTGCCAGGATGTTAACAAAGATGAAAGAAGCAGCGATAGAGATACTCATTGTCAGAAAAGTCATGTTGCTTGACAATACATCTATCACTCTTAACAGAAACTAAAAAAAAAGTTGAACCCGATTATAAAACTAGATATCTTTTGCAATGTGTTTTAACAAATGAATCAACCAGCAACTAAATTGGTTCAGGGACTCTACCACGCACCAAATATAAATAGCGATGCTATCTAAAGAACAATATATCAACTATAGCAAACATGATAACTCATGATTGACCATTAGTACACAACAACAATCTCATATTTATATATAGTTTACTCATCGACACACTTTAGTATGTAAATCCTAAAAACCCTATAAAATTAACAAATGTTTTATAATACGTATATAGACACTCAGTTCTAATTTACCATGGCATAGTAAAAAAATTGCTGAAGATAACCAACAATTATCACTGAAGTGATGAGTCCACTGTTATTTTTTTGCTAGTTAACTCCCCAAGAATCGTTATCTATATTTATTTCATCGACCTTGCTGTATTTTTAAGATTCCTCCTTAATTTGCGGTAAATCGGTGAAAATAGAGATTACGGTAGATTCTCAGTAGAATTAAAACACTAATCCAGATCATTTATTAAAAAAAAAAAAAACTAATAGCGACTTCGTTTTTCTTTTATTTCTGTAAACAAATAATAACGAGTTAAAAAAGAAAAAAAAATGCCAATCTGTAAATCAGAATTAACGCGTCTCCTTGTCCCCTGAGTCATCTGTATATATATTCCTCCATCTCTTCCTCTTCTCCTTAGCAGATGCTTTTAGAAAAAAAAAATAAAAATAAAAAAATCTGCATCTGTCTTTCTCTCGTTTAAAATTTTAAATCATTTTTATTTTTGTCCAATTC